AAAAAAAAAAAAAAAAAAAAAAAAAAAAAAAAAAAAAAAAAAAAAAAAAAAAAAAAAAAAAAAAAAAAAAAAAAAAAAAAAAAAAAAAAAAGTGAAAACTAAAAAAAAAAACGAAAAACTCGAAAACCATAAAAAATCGCACTAAAACGTAAGATCAGATCGCTTATATTGAACAAAATCAGTGGCTAAGAATACAAAACGAAATCTATGTTTTTTTTTGTTGGTTATTCAAAATTCTTTTCTAAGCACTCTAAATCATCCAACAACTAAATTTTTGAATTAATATGTATGCATACATGGTTTCTCTTCATCTGCGAGTGTAAACAAGTGTAGTCAACAGATACTATGCTGTTTTTTTTTTTTGCTTTAAAAATGCACCTATGCAATTTGAGTCGACCAGAAAGAAGCACAACTGTCATTCGTTTTTTTTTCTGATGAATTATTTAGCGCAGCTAAAAATTAGTCACAGTTTTGTTTTCCAACACAACAAAAGATATTGCTTTCTTACTACCGCAGTGTGATTTTACGCGTTGCTTTAGCACAAAGTTTAGTGGTTCAGAATGAAGGATTCTGGTAGTTCGTTCAACTCAAAGAGTTTTGATGGTTTGGTGATAGTTTTAAACATAAACATTATAAAATTACAAATTTTCGTGAACTTTATACGAAGTGCAATAAGCTATGTGTGAGCGCGTAAGAGATCTGCAGCTAATCGCCATTTTCGAATAGTTAAGTCCTTTCGCCGGCAGCTCTGGAAATCGGTATAGCAAATGACTGGAGCTTGTCATATCCGTGATAGTAAGGAAGACCCAGTTATAAAAGGCCGCCAAGGCGTTTTTTTGCACTCATTGGCTTTACACTTCTGTAGTTTGCCCGTTACATGGAATATTTGTATGGTGGCCATCAACTCAAAAGGCTTATTGAGATCCTAAGAATCGTGTTTTTATGCACCTATGGCCCTTTACAATCACTCAAATAAAACGCCAGAAGTGATAACAAACCTGCCTGCTGTACATTTCGTAGGAAAACATGTGGCCGCAGCTACGGCGCTGAGACTAAAAAATATGAAGCTATGGTAAGATCGGCTGTTTGGCCACGCTTCTACACTTCACACTCTGGCTAGTTGGGATCAAAAAATCGACTATTTCGCCCCTGAACCCATCTTAGACAGGCTCTTCAAGGCGAAAATCTCGTCAAGAACAGGGTGGCAAACACCGAGACCATGGGGATGGGGGAATTAAATTTTTACACGGTTGGATCTAAGCAAGACTTGGGTTTAGAGTTGACTATGGAGTTTTCTTTTAGGAATTAAAACTGAAGTTATCCGCACGAATTCCCGACCACGGCAGCGTCTTTCAGGCCGAAGTTCTAGCCGTAGAGGAGGTGGCTGTGTACCTTAATACACAAACCGTATTGAAGACAACTATAAATATCTTCTCAGATAGCTAGGCGGTCATAAAATCAATGAATGCGGTAATGGTAAGACCAAGGCAACCACCTGACAGCCCTAAATGACATAAGCACCATTTCCAGGTCAGCCTCATATAGGTACGGGACGTAGAGATATTGCAGGGTGGATGATCTAGCCAGGAAAGGCACCAACCTAGAACTGTGTGATAACAGAGGTAGAATTGGGATACGCATGGCTGCATGGCCTGCAAATTAATGGTTAGAAGTGGCATTATCCAAGAGGTCAATAAGTCATGGTTCGATAAGAGAACCCATAGAACAGCTAGGGTACTTTGGCCGCAAATTGATTAGAAAAAAAACAGAAGTAGTCCCAAGATAGGACATTTCGGAGATAATGGCCTGTGTACTCGGTCATTTACTATTTGGTAAGCACTCTTTGAGAGCGTTTTTGAATCCTTTAAACCTGTAATATTCAGTAATAATTACTGTGTGGTGTTTTTACCTTACCTTCTTTGAGAGTTTATCGGCAATAACTCAGAGACTAAGAGTGTTCAGCTTATCAAGGCATGCCATCACCAGTTTTGATGTTAGCTGATGAAAGCTGATAGCCTTAGTAGTCGCTTGGCTGCCCGTCTGCTACTTCTGTTTCAACAGGTTTAGTTCTCCTACTGAAAAAAATTATGTAGTAAATAAAAACTTCCTCTTAAAAGCGATTGCCTCTTCGGCTTCCCCACTTCTGAATGTATCACCATTTTCGGTAATAAATTTGATTTTGTTATTTTTTTCCCTGTCGACAATGCCATATTTTTCTTGTCAGAAATACAAAAATACGACTCGGTGATATCTCCAAATCAAAGATTAAGTTGTAACTGTAGCCCGAACTTTTATTTGCTCAACAATCCATTTAAGTTTGTTTTAAAAAAGTTGCCGGCATAGTCATAGACCACAGGGCTAAAGCTGCAGATCTCAAGAATAAATACTAAGAATTAATACACATTTTGTGCCCTAATACTCTCGTCTTCTAGGTGTAATCCGCTGTCTGTCTGCTTTCTATCGACTGTTTTGCTCTTGAGTAGAACACGAGAATTAAAGTAATTCCTTCAATAAATCTTTGACTCTGCAGATATTTACTGGCAGTATTAAAGCAATGAATCAGAAATAAGTTTGTGTTTATTAGATAATAAGTATGTATGTATATGATGTATGTAGATGGTTCCAATTAATAATTTGCTTTCCCATTTGATTAACAAATAAATACAAAATATGCCTCAATATTACTTACGCATACATTCATGTCATATTGATTTGTACAATTGTTATGGTCATCATCAAAATATATACATACGTACATACATATGTAGCGACTCATCAATACCCAAAACGAATTTTACAATCCGACTAGGTGCCCTCACGAAGGCTTCTTCTCACAGTTAATGGCGTGACCCAGAGCTCCTCATGGCTATGGCTGGGTTACCGCATCTCGCTCATGGTTTGTCAAAAGCCATGACAATAGGTGCTGAGATTGAGTGTGGTAGCCCAGCTGAAACTGGAAACCAACCGTGAATTAAGTTATAAAAAAAAAATAAAATGGTACAAAAAAAAGGAAGTAATTATTAAAACAAAAAAGAAAGAGAGAAAAAATTAAAAATATTTGTAGCAGATATTTTAGTTAACGATTTTATAGTTTTATTATTAATTATTATATATTTGTATGAATTATGTTTGCTTAAGTAAAGTTATCTTAGCAAATTGCGCATACTTTTTGATGTGGTATAAGGCCTTAAAGTAATATTTGTAATAAATAAAATTAGATTTTTCAAAAGTTGTGCAGTACTTTTCCCATCAGACGTCAAAACTTGCCGAATTAACTATTTCTGGGCACCGCAGTTGTGACAATAGTCATTTCGGTGAGTTTTTTTCAACAAGCGGGAATAGTGCTGTCATACCGTATTAAGTACTACATATAAATGATACAACTTGAACTTGACGTCGGCGCGGTCCTGTGCGAATTCGAGAGGTATGAAAATTGCATTGTCAATAATTCAATAAGTAGACCTGGTTTTATTTTTGACTGAAGTTGTATTTAATTACACTACTTAAATGACTTCTAAGAAATGTTATGAATTCAAAGCGACGCGAACTACATAGACATAGAAGCCTCGAAGCTTGCCGCTTGCTTTTACAAAACTCTGAAAATAAAAAGTTCGAGTAAAACTATCGACTTATCTTTCGATAATTTAATTGCTTGTGCTTCAAAACAAGTTAAATTGGTTATACTTAATAGACTCCGCTTCAGAAGGGATCTCGTAAATTTTTTATAATTAACTCATATTTGCATTAGACATGTCTTGAGACCATCGGCCTGTTTTACTTTAAACTTGTTCTGCAGACTAGGTCAGCTAGAGATGGGTACAAATCTCCAAGTTCAGGCCAAAATAAAGACGTCAACGGCGACTTTTCATCGTTCTTGAAGATGTATGGCACAATAATGCTGACAGCAAATAATGCTGCCCCCCAGCAGTCACTGTCCCAGGTTCGAGAGCCTGAAATCGCTCTCAGCACTGAAGAAGATTTTCTTCGAAATGCGTGAAAATGCAGCCACAAACGATTCGTAATTTTGGTAGAATAATTTTAATTAAGCCTACAGAAGATAATACAAATTTTGGAACCGATTGCAAGAGCAAATTCATCCTCAGAGTGCCACTCAGAACGAGCCGACCAGCAAAGCAAAATTTGTGCGCCTAAAACCAAGCAACGCATACAGAGAAGAATAACTATCTTGACAAATCTCTGCGCATTTCATGTAACATACTTTCAGACATACTGGTTACAAATTTAAATAGTTTCAAGTGACAACCTTATTTCAATGCCTTGTCTTAATTACGGCGCCGAAAATTATGCCGCAAAAAAACTCCATTGACCTACTTAGTATGTGACAGCGACGAAGCAGTGCTTCTATTCTGCGTCATAGCTTCAGGCGCAATAGATAAGACTATAGTCATGTGATGAGTTTTGTTATAGTCCTAGTAATCTTCTTCTTCTTCTTATTTGGCAGTACAAGCGTTGGTCGATTTGAGCCGATACCAAAAGAATTTGTCAATTGCCTCTCTTCTTTACGAATTTGCGCTAGTTGTACATCCGTAGTGCACACAGGTCCTTCTGAACTTGGTAAATTTACATTGTGTTCATGGGCGCCTTTGGATGGCGAGTCAAAGGATCTATTCACGGGAGCCACTGACTTCCACTTAAATATGATTTTGAAGCAGTTTTTTTTTTTAGTTTTTGATACATTTATTGCCATAATTATGTAATTTTACAGTTTTGGTGAATTAAAAAAAAAAAAAACAAAAACAAAGTA